TGGGAGCCAGGCACGCCACCGCAAGGGCAGGTTTCCAGCTCTCCTCCTTCCCCGGCAAGGCACCTCCCACTGCAGTGGCAGGTCTCCAGCCCCTTGCGTGAGCCTTCCTGTCCTGGACCATGCAAACGGCGAGCAGCACATGGTCCCAGCCTCAGCGCAGCTGAAGCCCGGGGGCAGCCCTGAAGCCACGCTGAAGCAGGGCGGGGCCGTGGCAGGCTGGCTGGGAAGGCAATGCCTTTCTCTGCCTCTGATACCCGCCGCCCATGTTCCAACTCCGTCCTCTCAACATGCCTGAGCCCTGCTGTGGAGGGACCAGCCGATGAGGATTTCTGGGGTCCCTGGCGCTCCCTGAGGAGACTGGTGGCCCACATAGAAAGAGTTGGTGACTGGAGTCTGTTTCCCAATGGCTGGTGTCAACGTCAGTTCTCACCATTTCCCCTACCATGCCAAACAGCCGTAAAATATGGCAACCCCACATACACCCCCCGCTTTCAGGTAGCATAATTATAGGGCAGGGGAAAGTACTGTTCTTTTAGGAGCATCCATGAAAGGCTTGTTCACCCACCACTGAGCTCCCCAAACTAAAGCTTATGTGAGATGTACATGGCACTGAGGCCTGGTGCCAGCATTCCCTTGAATGTTTTCCGTGTGCAGAATGAATTTTGGTATATGTACTGGGTCATGGGTGGATGTGCACCACCAGTAGAAACACATGCTGCCAGCTGCTGCCAGCTGTGAGCGACCTGCTAATCACTGGGCTGCCTTTGAGCACTTGGGTGTCCCACCAGAAGAGATTCAGGCTACAGGAACTCTACCTTGTGCTACCCTTTGCAGAGGAGGGAATTTCACCCTAGGTGACCAAAACCCATTATCCAGTGGAGCTATGTGATTACATTGTTTTTATTCCGTGCTGCATGTTGTTACGTAGCTGAGATTGCTACTGCCTGGCCCCGCAAGAAGGAAGCTGTTGTTTCGTGGTGTGAGCTATAATTCACCGGGAACTGCGTGGAGGCCTACAAATTCACTGTGCCTTTTTACAAGTGACCAGGAGGGGATGGCAATCCATCAGCTCAGAGCTGGATGAAAAGAGAAGCTGCCAGAGTGAGAAATCGGCTCTGTACTCTCCTCTGTGTCCTGGTCTCAGGAGAATGAGACTGATGAGACGGAATGGAAACATAACAGATATTGAAATTCAATAGCAGCTGAGATAGAGATTGTAATAGGGGCGGGGCAGCCGAGGCGGACGTGCTGTGGGAACAACAGACACATCAGTGACATGTTCCCCCAAAAAGAACATTACGGTCACGTAGCCACAGCCCGTGGCCTGTGCATGAGGGTAACTGGGCTCATCACAGGGACTTAGAGTTCTACTCAGAATTTTCTTGATCCCCGAAACAAGGTCTTGGTTTGGGGGTTGGAAATCAATATTCTGCAGATAGCTCAGGTCTGGTTGCAAAGCCAGCCAAAGCTTTGTAAAGTTTGCAGCCTTCCAGGTGCATCCGGACCCAGGTCATCAATCTTGATTCTGCATGAATTTAACCACCATACGCCTCACTTTCCCTCCCTGGCGGCTTAAACTGCCTGCTGGTTCAGGGCCAGCGTGAAAAAGGGCTGAGCTGTGATTTCAGAACCATGCAAAACTCGGCGTGAAATCATCTGACAAGCAGTTTGTGGACAGGGAGATTCCAACCAAATCTAATTTCAAAGGAGCCAGGACTCTTGGGAAGGGAAACCGTAATAAACTGCTAACCCCATTAAAGCCAAGCAACTGCTGTCTGCCCTGTGAATGCACAGGCCAGCGTGAAAAAGGGCTGAGCTGTGATTTCAGAACCATGCAAAACTCGGCGTGAAATCATCTGACAAGCAGTTTGTGGACAGGGAGATTCCAACCAAATCTAATTTCAAAGGAGCCAGGACTCTTGGGAAGGGAAACCGTAATAAACTGCTAACCCCATTAAAGCCAAGCAACTGCTGTCTGCCCTGTGAATGCACAAATGATTTACTAGGACCAGGAGTTTTGGCTTCCAAGTCAAACTGCCCTGTCAGCCCAGTCACTGGGATGTATTACAAGAGTGTGACAAATATGCTCAGTTCCTATATTTTTTCCTATACAGCTGCATATTTCTGCTGGGGCTTTTTCTATTTATTATAAAAAACTGTGAATAAATACAAAAATCAAATCTATCTATTCCTCCCTATATACACGTTGCTGTCTATCTATCTAATCTAGCTATCCCTGTTACATTTCACCTCGCTAAGAATAAGGACGTATAGGGTAAGTGTATGTCTAGACTGCATCCCTCTGTCGGCAGGGGGATGCAGATGAGGCAGGTCGATATTGCAAATGAGGCAGGGATTTAAATATCCCGCACCTAATTTGTATAAAAATGGCCTCCACGTCTTGCCGACTCAGCACTTTGTCAGTAAAAAGTGGCAGTCTAGAGGGGGATCTGTCGAGCAAGAAAGCCTTTTTCAACAGATCCCGTCTGCCTCCTGCAAGCACGGGGGGCTCCAGGCCTGGCTCGCAGGCCAGAAAGGGCTCATTCCTCGGGTAGAGTCGAACGTTTGCCAGCAAAGTCCACACGTAGGGACCAAAATAAGTGGCCCTGCCCAGCGGCATGAGTGGGTGACGTCACAGCCACCTTCTGCCCAGGGCAGCCCTTCGAGAGCACTCAGAATCCAGCCCTTGGGGGGGTTCATTGTGCACCCCACCCTGCTGTGACCTTGTCTGTAAGCAGCTAGACGGGGAGGGCAGGGGAACCGGGTGCTGCATGAGATCGTTCCTCACGTTCTACGATTGCTTTGGGATTTGAAATAACGTGTAAAGCATTGACCGTGCCAAGCCCCGTGCAGGGACACTAAGCCAGGGTACGTGTGCGTGGCGTGGCGGGCGATTCACCACATCACAGCCCCTGCTCCTGTAATTCCCTGGAGCCGCCGGAACCTCTTGGGGTTCTCTGCTCAGAGGAAAGTGGGTCGGAGGACGGACTCATTTTATCTAAAATGCCCAGATTACACCTCGTAGCGCTGACAACTGTCGGGGAAAGGACGCTTGTTCCTGCCAGCGCTCCGTGACTTCCGATCCGGAGATGCCTGGAGCAGCCAGAACTCGGTCAGCTCTAGGAAGAGCTGAGAGCGCTCCGTGCTTGTCAGATGCACTCGGACGCCACTTCAGGCTCCTGGGAATACCTGCCGACACAGAGCCAACGGGACCCGGGCCTGGCGTTACCACCAGCCTGGAGCAGGATTCGCCGGGGAAGGTGGGGGCTGTAGGGCACAGAGGGCTCCAACTGTCTAATTGCACCCCTCTTGCCCTGCCCCCCTGCCCCACCCCTTCCTTGAGGCCCTGACCCCCTGCTCGTCCATCCCCCTTCCCTCTGGCACTTGCTCTCCCCCAGCTTCACTCACTTTCACAGGCTGGGAGGAGGGTTGGGATGCGGGCGGAGGATGCCAGCTGGGGTTCTGGGCTCTGGTTTGGGGTGTGGGCTCTGGAGTGGAGGGGTGAGGGGGTGCAGAAAAGGGCTCCAGGCTGGGACAGGGGTGGGGTGCAGGGGGGGGTGAAGGATCTGGCTGAGGGTGCAGGCTCCGGGTGGGGCCAGAAATGAGGATTCAAGGTGCAGGAGAGGGCTCTGGGGTTGAGGTGCATGGGCAAGGGCGAGGGGCAAGAACTCTGGCTGAGGGTGCATGCTTTTGGATAGGGCTGGGGGTGAGGGGTTTAGGGTACAGCAGGGGGCTCTGGGCCAGGGCAGGGGATTGGGATGAGGGGTGGGGAGCGTGGGCTACAGGAAGGAGTTTAGGTGTGGGAGGGGGGGCAGGGTTTGGGGTGCAGCAGGAGGTCCTGGTGGTGCTTACTAGGCATGGGGTCCTGTGCTCAGGGAGGCTCTCCCTGCTGTCCTTGTGCCCGCAGCTCCCACTGGTCATGGGTCCTGGCCGAGGGGGTGCTATACGCACTGCCCCTGCCTTGAGTGACGGCTCTGCCACTCCCATTGGCCAGGAACGCTGCAGGGGCGGTCCCTGTGGGCGAGGGGGTGTTGCACAGTTGGAGCCTCCCTGCGCCTAGATGCTTCAGGGGCCTGGCGGAGCCAAGGGAGGCAGGAGCCTGTCTTAAGACTGTTAGAAAGGGCCCTGGCAGCTCTGGTCAGCACTGCCGACGGGGTGGAAACCAGACACCTGGCACCCGTCAGAGGAGCCACCCCGGGAGTGGTCTTAGTGACACCAGCTCAGAGCTGGGCTGCCTCTGGTGACCTTGCCTTTGGGGTGTAGAAAAGCAAATGAGAGTTCAAGTCTGACTCCCTGGTCTGTTTGGCTTTCTAATGCAAAGCACAAAGCCCATGGGGGCTGGGGAAAGCAAGCCCTAG